GACAGAACTGTTGAACTCAACCAGGTCTGCTGTTGGTGGAGTTACTCTTACATTAGAGACTGGTGCTGTGGGAGGAAAACAAAATATCATCATAGTCTGTCATATAAAATCAAACTGAAAAATAATGAGGTATCTAGTTAAACATGTCCATGCTGATGACTTAATGGTTTTCATTTGGAACTGTTGAGTCATGAAAACAGCAGCCAATCACTGATCTGAACGTATGGACTACTTTTATATTGCTATTGTTTTGTTTTTTTAAATCTATTTGGTTAAAGTGACTCAATAATGTGTCATGTTTAATTACTTAAAATAGCTTGAGATAAATCATAAAACACAAGATAAATTCCCAACAACACTTATGGTTGTTTTCATGTAGGAGGCTGTGCTGACGTCAGGGGACGGGAGAAGAACGGGAGAAGTAAATATGGGATAGAAGCATCTACGTCAAATTAAACTTTATCACATATGATAAGGAAGTTAACAAAAAGAACAGATGAGAATTCTTTGGTGTAAAAAAAGGTTTGTTAAAAAGACAAGTATTAAAACTGTAAAGCTTCAAAGATATTTATTGTAATATTTCAACATCTGCTCACCATAAATGTTCAGTGTAGTTATTCCTAGTTCTTGTAAACCATTTGGTAGTAAAATGTCAATAGCATAATTTCCACTGTCACTGAGTTTCAGATTCCTGAGCTCCAGAGCTCCAGTAAACATGAACACGGTGATTCTGTCTTCATACTCTGGTGCTGTTTCATTTCCAGCAGGCGATGAGGTTATTATAGGCTCATAACTTTCACCATGTTTCTTTTGCCAGAGCACAGACAGAAGTGGTGCTTCTGTTGGAGTTATGCTTGTTCTGAACGTCACCGTCCCTCCAACAGATGCAACAAGAGAATCATCTGGTAACACACCAGTTCCTTCAGATGAACCTGGGGGAGACATTTTCTGGTTGGTAAGAAAATTCTGTTAAATCATTACAACATGAGCCTCTAAGCAGCAATAATTATGACAGGTTTCTACAATAACAAAACTTTTTTTTACAACTTGCACTTCCTGGGTGATAAAAATATCAACCTTTAAACTCTACAGTTGTGTTAATAAGTTGGAAAATCCATTCATTATCTTTTACCTGCTTCTTCCTTTTCGGGCCGTGGGGGTTGCTGGTGCCTATATCCAGCAATCACTGTGCAAGAGGCGGGGGACACCTGGACAGGTCTCCAGTCCATCACAGGGACACATAGAGACAAATGAGACAAACAACCATTCACTCTCTCACTCTCACCTAGGGACAATTTAGAGTTACCAATCAGCCTAACATGCATGTATTTTTGAACTGTGGGAGGAAACCAGAGTACCCAGAGAAAGCCCACACAGGCATGGAGAGAACATGCAAACTCCACCAATAAAAGCCCCCAGACTGGGATTTGAATAAGGGTATCCTGCTCGCTGAGAGGCAAAAGCTCTACCATTTGCATCACCGTGCTGCCCAATTTGGAAAATGCAAAAAAATATTGTTCTCTGTAATATCATCTGGACTGATTATTTTTTATTGAAACTGTTTGTCTTTTATCCAGAACACCTTCTCATAGTGGATCAACCAGTTTGCTTCTGACAGCCAGAACTAGATGTTCACATGCAAAAGGTGGACCATCAGCCTAACAATCGAGCGTTAGTACCCTGATGGCCTATTGCTATTTACAGAGGGTTGAGTGATGTTAGCAATAACTGCACTTTGAGAGGGGGGGGGGGGGACAGTTGAACAGGAAGGCCTCCGCCCCTGTTTAATGATGGACGAGTTCTCTTTACAAAGATGACTTCCTTTACTCCTCTCTCAAACCTACATTAATAAATTTACTTTAACCAGAATAATATACTAGTAAACAAATGACAATGAAAAACAAAACCTTCAGTCATAATCTTTGTTTCTTGATCAGAACTTTACAGAACTTACTCAGGATATAAAATGCTAAATAACATTCTCTGTCTCAACAGAAATAAACGGTGGGGTGTTTTGCTGTAAGGTTTCTGGAAACACTATAAATAATAAATTTAAATTAAAAACTCACCTTTGAAAACTCCAAGGATGATGAAGTATAAAATGTCAGTTTTCATCTTATTTAATCAAGTAAACAAAATACAAAGTGCCTTTGTTCTCTCCTAATCCACCAACTGTTCACACGATTTGATAAATGTGATATGAGGAAGTAAAACTGTCAAATCTGCTAAAGGTTCATCTGCATGCAGTTATTAATCATTAACAAATGTTGATGATTCTCACTGGGTCCTCCTGCTAACCACTGACACTTATAAAACATTATTCCCTTTCATAAAATCCAATAGCTGTGTACATTTTCTCTTGAATAAATGTGTAGAATTGTTCCATAAGTCCAAGCTATTCATGATTTTTTCTGAATAATTTAATTAGATCGAAGGAAAAATAATCCAAGTTTCAGTTTTGTGTTTATGGTCAGACAATTGTGGCTCTGGATGTCTGTAAATCTTAAAGTATATATTTTTCCAGATAAGTTTAAAAATATCTGATTAAACATATCACAATAACAGCATGTGCAGAGATTAGGCATCAAAGATCTCCAACCATTACTAATCCTAATTATTTAACCCAATAAATGATTAAAACCTCTAAAGGCATTGTAGATGAACAGATGCTCGGATATATTCATCATTTAACACGGATTCCTCATTTTTCTGGACTGAATAAAACGTGCATTGAATTTAAGGAAATGCAAACGTGAGACGTCATTTATATTTGACCCATCAAAATGAATGCGGTCATTTATTTACAGAATCAAAATTTTAACATCAAACATTTACATTAATTTGGCAAATTATGAAAATAACAACATAAGCAATCAATCAAGAAAAATCATACGGCCATGATTTTTCCGTTGCTTCACCACAGACATTTATGAAACTGTACAATTATGATCTTTTACCCACACGGATGTGGATGAGCATTTTACACAGACATTTCTAAATATCTGGAAGTATATCTACTTGATAGAAAGTTTAAAGATGGGAAAGAAGTTTAGAGGGAGTAAAGATGGTATGGGAGGGGAAGTGTTCACCAGAATTGACACTCTCCGTCAGAACCCAGCTCTCCCCGGTACGCTTGGTAGGAAACTTGACTCGTTACCTCTCTGAAGTTAATCAGCAGATATGGAGCTCCGTTAACGCTACCTGTCCAGCGTCTCCTTAGGATGCTGTGAATCGTCAGAAGTAGTGGCGAGTGAAAATGTTATAATCCCATGGAACTCGGAAGAGCTCTGTTGTCATGTCAGGATCATCCCGTCTCTCACAGAACTGGGCTTCTCTCACAGAACTGGTTGAACTGTGTATCCAGCAGAACTCCAACAGCACTCCATCAGAACTGAACAGAACTGTCCCAGAACTGTTCCAGCACCATCCCAGAGCTTCTAACAGAACTGTGTAGTTTACAGATCTCGAGCAGAGCTGAGTAGACCAGGAAGTACTGACATTTTAAAGAGCTGTTTTCCGGTCCATCTGGGAGTATTACCATTGGTCAGAACCGACCAGACGGGGTGTGTTTTGTGACGTAAGAGGTTAGAAGACAGCAAGAATTGTTATGGAAAGATCAGAAATGTTCTCACAGACAGAGAGAGTTTTGTTTTGGCGCGTTTCAGAAACAGGTGCCAAAAACCTCTATATTTATGTCTGAGAGGATTCTAAAAACATGCCAACAACTTGTTTTGCGTTTGACTCCAACCTTGGACCAACTTACACTTGCTCATTCAAAAGCAGAAATCAGAAAAGGCATAATTACTCTGTAACAGCTTTGACATGAGTTCTAACTTTGCGTGAGAAAAAATCATTACACAGTTAATAAAATTGATTAGTTCACTGCAACATCTAAAATGGTTTGAACTAAGACACTTTGATTATCAACATTTGTAAAATAGTAATGATAATAAAACAGAGAGTGTTCTTTTCACTTGAATCTTCAAGAGAGAAAGTCTCAGGATGGGTGAACCTGTATTTCTGGATTCAAATCAATGAAATGACAGTTCCTGTCCCACAAGGTTCTTAAGGTCAAGATTTTTGACCTTAGACTTAGTTTTTGACATGGGCCTAGTCCACTACAGCATGAAGGAATAAACAACTCAAATAAAGTAATTCATCATGATCAATGTTTTATTGTTTTATCACAAAACTTGAATATTTAAGATACATCAAATGTTCTTATGACCATCACAGATGCTGATGTGTTCTGCAGCATGATTCCAGTTGTAAGAAGACTTTTGCAGATATTTCATAACGCATATATTTAACATTGAGACAATATTGAAAACAGCAATGATCCAAATTGACAAATATAAACAGTACACATTTAAAGCATGAAAAAGAAATACATTCACAACACCTCAGTTGTTATATTGATCAATAAAGGACATTTATTCCTCTGCTCAGAAAGAATTCAGCTTCAGCAGACTGGCTGACAGTTTAAATTTTAAGACAAGTTAAGGTGGTATCATAGAAATACATTTTTGGTACAAATGTAGTCATAAGTTTGTGTTATTTGACAACCTAACCAGATCATTTCAATTATAAGTGTTACTTTTTTATTTAAATAACAGGTATTCTTATTACTTGATGGAATAGTGTGACATGCACATACTTTCTAAACACTTATGTTACACTTTAAAGACCCTCTTAATGTTTTATTTTTTTTCTCCAGGTTTATCTGAAGGACTTGGTGGGTTTGAAACTGATCCTCCGAATGTATCTGATGCATCATAAAAGACCCCACTCACCCAGCACACACAGTTTTTGCCCCGCTCCCCTCAGGGTGGAGGTTGCAGAGCATTAAGTGCAGAACCACTAGACTGAAGAACAGCTTCTAACCTGAAGTTGTAAGATTCATAAATACCTAACAAGGAAAATCATTAAAAAAAAAGAATAATCACTGTAATGCCACTTTAATTGGTGATATGTGACTTTATCTGTGCTGCTGATTATCCATGCTGCTGATCTCTTTTTGCCTTTAAACTGCTGCATTCATCCGTACCCGTCTGTCCACCACAGACTCGTGTTCAGGCTGCTGTTTAATATACCGTATTACCGTATTTTACATTATCAGTGTTTAGCATGTACCTTTGATACTGTTTCTTTTTATCCTTTATGTTCTTGCTATTTTTGGGTGTAACTGGGATCTTGATTACACAATATTGTTCCAACTCATGTACCACATGTGATGCGAATGACAATAAAGAACCTTGAACCTTAAACCTTGTGATGTTTAAGATAAATTTGAAGCCAACAAAAACACCTGTTCTATTTGTGGCCTGGGACCTTTGTTCCAAGCAAAGTTGTAAAGTTTATTGGACTGTTAATATTGTGTATGAATGAAGGCAGAAGTTTAAATATTTATTGGCAGTAAATAACTTATATGCACAATTTAAAAATTGTACAGACGTTGTGATTAAAAAAAAACTAACTAACCAGTGCTAATAAGAAAACCTTGAATTGGGACGGTTGCACAGCTGCCTCTCAGCAGTAAGGTTGCAGGATCAAGTCCTGGCACGTAACCTTTCTGGGTGGACTTTGGATATTTTCTCAATAGATGTGTGGGTTTTTCTCCAAGTACTCAGTATTCCAGATGTAGTGAACCTGGTCTGACCCTTATCTGACCCTGATGACCTCAAATCTACCAGATGGACAGAGACTGTCATTTTCATTGATCTGAATAAGTCTGAGCCATCTGATGACTTTCTTTCTTGAATTAATCAAGCAGAAAAGACAATTCTTTATAATCATTACTGTCTTACAAATGTTTGATAATCAAATTGTGTTAGTTTCACTCAATGCTTACAGGTTGAA